GGAAGAATCGGTTTTCAGATTTGTGGAGTCTGCGTTCTTAATTGATATTTTCAGGTCAGTTGATGGGTAGTTTCGATTCAAATTTGTGTTTTTTATTTAAAAAAATTTACACATTTCCCCGAAATTTGGATTACAATTCCTGACTTTTGTTCCTTTTGTGAATGATTTTCGTGTTTTTATCACAATGAGTAATTGATTCCTGAATTTGGGTACTTTTGAATGCCCAATGTTAAATCTGATTCTGAGTTTCGTTATTTTCCCCTTTTCTCGATACTGCAGCTATTTATCTTCCCCAACAGTGCTTCTTTTTTGTCTGATCCAAGAATGAAGTAGTGTTTCTAAGTAAAGTTTTTAGCTTGTCCATCTCTCTCTGAGGAAGCCAAATTTGATTATCGTATCTTGTCTATCTCAGTTTAAAGTTGTCGTTTTTTTCTTTTTCAGAAACCTGTAAATGGCACCGGTAAGGAAGTCGAGGAGTGTGAACAAGCGTTTCACCAATGAAACTTCACCACGAAAAGATGTTGGTAAATCGAAGAAAAATAAGCAGCGTGTGAGTATAATCGGTTTTCATTTGCTTGAAAGTTGAATGATATGTTGTTACTCAGATGATATTATTAACTATATGCTTTTGCTTATTTTAGAAGAAGAAATTGTCTGACAAGTTGGGACGTCAGTGGAGCAAAGGAGAGCTTGAGCGTTTCTATGACGCTTACCGGAAGCACGGGCAGGATTGGAAAAAGGTAGATAGATAACTGTTTCAATTCACATTTGTTTATGTGAGTTTCTTTGGCATTAGAGTTCTGAAGACTGTTTTTGTTATAGGTTGCTACTGCAATTCGGAATAGCAGGTCTGTTGACATGGTGGAAGCCCTTTTTAATATGAATCGGGTATGATCTTGTATTTCGGTTTTACTTAGTATTCGATGTGGCAAGTTTCTTTTTCAGGCCTTTAAACCTGAATCTTCTAAAACCTACATAACTTTGCATGTTCTTCCAGGCATATTTATCTCTTCCGGAGGGAACTGCTTCTGTAGCTGGCCTTATTGCGATGATGACGGATCACTACAGTGTCATGGTGAGAAAATTATTTTACTACAGCTGGCACACAAAGGATACTATGTGAAGTGACCTACAAATAGATGAGAAAATCAAATTTCGTTGTTGAAAATGTGTGGTTGGTTAAAAAAAAAACTCTAATTATGAACGTGAATAGATAGTTAAACTATGTGAATAGACAGTAAAACCGGTGACTTTATAAGACTATGAGCTTGTGTTACCTTATGTGGCCAATCTGTTGGGTCAGTTTTTATATTTGATAAAGTTATGTGGATTGTTTGTATCCCATTCTTATGATATTTCTTCTAGGAAGGGAGTGACAGTGAAGGAGAAGGCCATGATGCTCCAGAAGTACCTAAGAAACAGCAAAAGCGCAAGCGTGCAAAACCTCAGCTTAGTGATTCGCAGGAGGAAGTTGATGTACAAAATTCAACTGCGTCAACAGATGGATGCCTCACTTTTTTGAAGCAAGCACGGACCACGGGAAAACGTACACCTCGGATTCCTGTACAAACTTCAGACATGAGGGATGATAGATCTACTCCACCTAGTAAAAGAGCCAGGAAGCAACTCGGCTCCCCAGATGATTATGCACATTTTATAGCATTAGCATTAACAGATACATCGAGAAGGGGAGGGTCTCCAAAAGTTTCTGAATCACCAAATAGAAGAACAGAACTCAGCGATAGCTCACCGATAAAGAGTTGGGGGAAAATGGTATCTTTCGAGCTCTAGAAATTTCAGTCGGTTATCTTTTTATTTATTCTCTGCGTAATCTTGATTTACTGGAAAACACTGTTCAACTCTGTGCTTTTGACCAGTCGCGAACAAGAAAAACTCAATCCAAGTACCGTGACAGAGATGCTGCCTTGTTGATGGATATGGAAGGCGTTGGCGAAATGGAGGTTCCGCGGAAGGTAAAAAAAACCTACAAGAGAAACGTGAAAGTCGAAGAAGCAGAAGGTAATGATTCTGATGGAAATGGAGAAGCATGCAGTGCCACACAGGGGTTCAGAATTAAATCACAGAGACGAAAGGCAGATGTTGGAGCCTCGAGAGGGACATATTCACCGCGCAGCCCAAAGAAAAGGGATACAAAACTTACTTCCGGAGGTAAAAACCAATAATAATTTAACTCTGTTCCAATGTTAAGACCTGATTACAATTTCAAAGGTCCAATAATATGTTCCAGTGTTAGCCCTCTGTGTCAGGAAAGTTAGAAATATTTATCCTTGTAGGCTCTAGCATATTTTCATTTACAAGCTTTACTGTTGTGATATTTGATTATTTATCTATTCTGCGTTGTCTGTTTAAGCGGCGTATCTTCATCTTCTGCTGAACATATGGGAACCTGAAACTTATCGCCAATCTTTTCTTGTGTAGATGAATTTGATGCTCTGCAAGCGTTGGCTGAGTTGTCAGCTTCAATGCTTCCGGCAGCTTTTATGGAATCAGGTGAGCTTTGTTCGGTTTTGCTTTGTCACTTAAACCATGGCGTCCCAACTTCCAACATACCTGAAACTTATGTTTTCTAGATTTTCCCAGTCAGTGAAACTTATGTAATCCTGCCGCTTTGACTGTTCGTTTTTATGTATTAATTTTACTATATTGGGATTGGTCCAGAATCATCGGCTCTGTTGAAGGAAGAAAGAACAGATAACGACATGGACGAGAAATCCAGCACACCAGAAGCTACATCCACAAGCAGCCATGAGGAAAGAGCAGATGCAGAACCAGATGATAATCTCCTTCATGCAATTTCTGCTCTTGAGAATGCTAATAATAAAAAACCGAAACCTTCAAGGCAGTCCACTGATTGTAATGATGTTTCCACTGGGAAGCTACAACCGCAAACTACTAGTGGCAGTTTAAGAAGAAAACGTAAACCAAAGGTTAGCCAGACAGTTCTCTTAATTTTTCTATTCACTATCTTCTAGGCATCTTTTAACTATATGTGTGAATTATTTTCAATTTTCAGGTGCTAGGGGATGAAGCTCCAACATATTCTAGGCAGAATAAAACAATGAGCAAGAAGGTATTTCCTTTGTTTGTTGATTTAGTTGAGACCTGTCTTGACTCCTATATTGCTTCATTTGCACATTAAATTTTAACTATAGTTGAACTCTGTGAACTGTGGTTACTATCCTTTGAAGCAAGTTCAAAATAATTTCCATTTAAAAAGCATACCGAGTATTCAAGTTTGAGCTTCTGAGGAATAAATTACCTCATATAATTTGGTTTACTGTATTTCAGGAATTGGCCCAAGAAGAGAATAATATCAAGTCTTTGGTTAGAACAAAACGGGCTGGTCAAGGTCCGGCGCAGTCAAAACAGTTGAAAACTGTTAAGCCGTTGGAGGAATCTACTATAATAATCGATAAAAAAAGCCCTGTGATGGATGTAGTGATGCCAACTATACAAGTTTCTGATTTGGGCCCAGCCAGTTTACCGCAGAAACCTCCTAGCAGGCGTAAGGTGAGTCTGAAGAAAAGCTTACAAGAAAGGGCTAGATCTTCTGAAACCATTCATAAAGCTTCACGTAGTACTAGATCTCTTTCAGATCAGGAGTTTTTATTAAAGGTGGAGCCTCTAACTTCACTTCTCTTATGCACATCCAAAAGCTAGTATATTCATTTGCTAACTCCAATTTCAGGATAAGCTTTCTACTATTCTTTCGTTTCCCTTGGCACGTCGAAGGTGCATATTTGAATGGTTTTATAGTGCTATCGACCATCCCTGGTTTGCAAAGATGGAGTTTGTTGATTACCTAAATCACGTGGGACTTGGTCACATTCCAAGACTTACTCGTCTTGAATGGAGTGTCATTAAAAGGTTTGTTCAAATTATGTTACTGGAAATGCTCCCAGAGAATATAGGTAGATTAAAAAAGGTTGCTCTTTCTGTTTTTGCAGTTCTCTTGGTAGACCGCGAAGATTCTCTGAGAGATTTTTACAGGAAGAGCGGGAAAAACTCACACAGTACCGTGAATCTGTGAGAAAGCATTACACAGAGTTTCGAACAGGTGCTAGGGAAGGGCTTCCTACAGATTTGGCTCGGCCATTAGCAGTTGGGAATAGAGTCATTGCCATCCATCCGAAAACACGAGAGATTCATGATGGGAAAATTCTCACTGTTGACCATAACAAATGCAATGTTATGTTCGATGACTTGGGCGTTGAGTTAGTTATGGTAATTCGTATACTATACCAGTTCCATTCGCACAATCCACTCTTTTATGATTTATAGATAATGAGGTCCCAGTCGTTTGATCATCTCCTTTTTGGACAGGACATTGATTGCATGCCTTCAAATCCATTGGAATACATGCCAGAGGGTCTACGGATGGATATTGATAAGTGCTTGTCTATGAAGAAAGAAGCACAGCTAAACGGGAATTCAAACCTTGGTGTGTCTATTATATTCCCTCCATCCGGACTTGAAAATATCGACTTTTCCATGAATTCGCCTCTGAATCAGGTAGGGAAAGGTGGATTTGACTAGTTCTGTCAGAGCCTTAAACCTTCTTAGATCTTCCCGCACATGTTCTGTAAATTTTATGCTAACCAATTCATTCTCTACAGGGTGATATGATTGCTCCCATTCTGCATGGTAAAGTATCAACCAATACTAGTGGTTCACAGCAGACTAATCAGTC